CCCCCTAGATGTTGCACTAGCGACTACTGGAAAACCCGTAACCTTTGTGAACCGGATGCTCGTTTTTGAGTACCTTCGGGAGCTTCTGCTGCGTATTTACGATGGTGAGGATGTGGAAAAACACTCCAGTGTTAAGCCCGAAATTACCAGCTCCCAATTTCGTCTCTGGAAGGGAATGTCTAGGTAAGTTGTTCAATCACATTCCCGTGTAGCTGGGTTCTTTTGTTGGCTAGTACTTACTTTCCTCCGCCATTCTGGTTTTCTTTCACAACTTTCCTCGTCTATGCCCGCCCGCCCTCTCCCGACAGGACGTGAGAACAGGAAACCTCCATTGTACATATGGTTTTGCTTTTAATTCCAGGGAAATTAGAGCTAATGTTTGGGTTAGAATTAAGACGAGGTTTACGTTTAAGCTTTGGATTAGCGTTAGAATTAGAAGACTGGAAAACTTACTCCTGCAATTTAGCGCAAGACTGCCTGTATTACGTCGACGGGAAGAGGGTGGTGTGTTCCTATTTCCATTTCCTAGTCGGGGCCACATAAGCAGTTCCGAGCCCGAAAGTAATGAACACTATGCTTGCGCCTACCGCACACAGTGTGCGTGTGTGCGTTTTTGAAAAGAATTGTCCTGTAGACCCGGGCCCTCAGGAATCCGACATCGCCATTGTTACGACAGTCCCAGATGATGGGTTCAAGTGAGATTCCTATACATCAGGTCAATCAACCAATCATCGAGTCTTCGTTTTCTTCTGAACTACCATCCGAGGTATTGCAGATGGTACTCATGACTTCATTACACATGTCTACCAAGTGTTAATGCGACTTTGATCGTCCATCAGTGTCGTATTTGAAAATTTTCTGTCGCATTACGTATAGAAGTGTTGCCTTCCTATGATAACCTCTAACCCCCTTTGTCATCAATAATTTGTCTTCGCCATGATCGCATCTAACATATAACTTCGGCCTGGATGCCGTCCCCACCCTGCTGTTCTCTTTAATCCAGGAGACACAAACTCTAACTGTTGTAGGTTGAGTGTTGACCTCCAGCG